ATGTCCAGATATCAGATGTGTATCCGATTAAAATCCACATTTGGAAGTGGCTCAGATCGGATGCAAAAAAATCGGATCTCGTGCGGGTTTTTGTGTTTACACGTGTGCAACAAATTCCGATCTGTGTCAGATGTGAGCGAAAGATTGGATTTTTTGTGCCAGTGTAAACGCAGCCTTAGTTCCTTCAAAAACAGCGATTTTACCCCCTCATTGCAGAGAAATATAACGTTGCATGTCAGTAGCCTGTCGAAGCTATTTTACTAATAAGTTTCCGTGCTGTGTTGTCGTGTGCAATAATGTGTGTGCGTGCGTCTATGAAAGCAGCGTAGCCTGCATATATTTTTTTTAGTTTAGCTATAAGCCCGACCCGAACCCGAAGCCATTCATTAAACATTAACCCTGAAAATATTTATTAAAGTTATCAAATGGATGCTGCCTTATGGGACAATTGGTCCTCTCTACACCTACCCCAACCCAAATACTTATCAAATACTGCTTTATTTCCACATTTCCCGCGAATGTTTTATTCATTTTATTGAAAATAAACGCATTTTGTATCAGCTATATGATAGGGTAAAATAAGATGAACGAAGTTGGTTAAAGCTGGATTCGAACTCGGATCAACTGCAGCTATCCAAAGTTGCTGTTGTGCATTTAAGTCCCAACGCCACTGATGCGGACTACAGCTGTGTAATTTTGACTGGGTGTATATGGTACATTAAATATATAAATAAATAGCAAAAATGTATATATTATTTTTAAATTGTTTATTTAACATTGTTGACAAGGCACCGTCTACAAGAAGTAAAAGCAAAAAACATTTTGAACCGGAGTAATGTATTTATTACAATATTCGAGTCAACAATATGACCACATACATCCATATCAGTAGCTTTATCTACACTCATTCCACCCACCAATGCCTGGTTGGGTCAGTCAAAATTACACAGCTGTAGTGGCGTAGGGACTGAAATGCACAACAGCAACTTTGGATAGGATTGATCCGAGTTCGAATCCAGCTTTAACCAACTTCGTTCATCTTATTTTTCCCTATCATATAGCTGATTCAAAATGTGTTTATTTTCAATAAAATGAATAAAACATTCGCGGGAAAGGTGGAAATAAAGCACCAAAATAGATATTTGATAAGTATTTGGGTTGGGGTAGGTGTAGAGAGGACTAATTGTCCCATAAAGCAGCATCCATTTGATAACTTTAATAAATATTTTCATTTTTAACTATTGCATACTTTTTTTATAATGTAGCCTATAGAGTATCTGCCATTATTTCCACTTAGCATAAATAGCATCTGTCTACACTTAATGCAAACATACCTACTGCTATTTTTAAATAGTGTAAATAAAACCTATCGCTATTTGCACTTAGAGTAAATGACGTACTGCTAAATAAAGCTATTTTCACTCAGTCAGTGTATATAGAAGTGAATTACAATTAAAATATATGTTTATTTGAGCGATTGTCATTTTCCATAGAAGTGGATGTGCCAAGATAACATGGGCTTTGTTTGTGAACCATGTCACCACGCGAAATCATGTTAAAATGACACTTAAACTGTGTCGCATGCATGGAAACAACACAGCGTAATAATTGCATCAACATTTATCAAGAACATTAAGAATGTACCAACGTCTTTTCATTACAGCTTTGCAGTCGCTTTTGACGAATCTGCTGGAATGTACGAATCTGAAAAAACAGTTTGAGGCTGTCTACACTGGGCGTGGCAAAGAAACCGTTGCAAATCATTTTGCGTCAGTACTAGGGGTGTGCGATATTGACCAAAAATAATCTCAATATTTTCTGGGATTTTATCGATAAAGATAATTAGACAATATTTTGCTGAGTGTGTTATTGTGCTGATATCTTAAGGACTACCGTGGACAGCTGAATTCTAAAGTTTTTGATATTCTTCATATTCTGTGTGGTCAGTTCACAGCAGTGCAAGTTTAACTTGATTTGTACCTTTTATGGGCATTTTTACTTTTATAAAGCCATTTTTTTTTCTAAAAGTGTACATCATCTTTTGAGTCAAATTCTTACATTTAATCAGTCAATTATAATACTAATACATTTAGGCTGTTACTAAACAAATGAAATCAGTATCAATAAAATTCATCTTTGCAGAAGTGGCATGTAGATGTATTTACACAATGCAGCTCTGAGGGACATGGAATGCTTTAGCCTGCAGTTACAAATGCATAAATAATGTTTCGATATTTAAACATGAAATGTTGAATACTGACATTTGAAATTATTGAAAAAATGAAAAGATACTTTAAATGTGAAATTAAAACCACCAGTTGGTGGCAGCAAGTCACTGTTAATAAGTGAATCATTGCGATTGAACCGAATCATTTAAACGGTTGATTCATTCAGGAACGAAATATCATGTTGCCCAGAGACGCAAAACTGTGGCTGTGTTTGGAATGTTTTTTTTTTGTTGGCGAAATAGCGCAGAAACAGCCAATATGGTGTCTAAAGCGTAAGTCTCTCGATATTAACTTAGTTTAATGAACTGTTGTATAAAATCAAGATCACATTTGTAACCATGCTGATTTTTAAGAAAAAACTGCGCTATTTGTGTGATATTGATTAACTATATGAATTAATATAAATATATACATTTTCTGCCCCCTTATCTTGAATTATGTGATCATTCTTAATGCATATTAATAGACTGAATATGCAGTGAAAGAACGCACTCTAAATGCGCACGTGCACTAAAGCCAGTGTTGGTCTAACCAGACTTCATCACGTCATGTATGCGTGCCTCTGTAGGTGTGTTTTGTTTAGTTTTTGCAATATACTTGATAATGTGATGTCTCACGAGTTCAGTATTTTTGCTAAACCTGCGCAGATTTGGCTTGCATGAACTTCCCCAAAACATTGAGTGAACATAACATACGAAAAGTAACCCGCCAAATTGGCTAGTGATTTGTCAGCGTTACCCGCCACAGCTGATTTTTACCCGCATTTGGCGGGTTGGCGGGTGTTAATTTCAAACGCTGATTGTAACCGTCTATGACTGAACCGAACAGAGTCACTGCCAGCCAGATCCGGGCTGGTTACGGTGAACAGGAATCAGGCCAGTGCTTTACAGCCGCATCACAAACACATGCGCGAGAGCGAGCTGCGGGCCACACTCGGCCCGAATAACACTCGCCAATGCCGAGTCTGAGCCGGAGGCGCCGCAGGGCAGCCGAGCTCGGGCCGATTACTACATGCTATCTGGGTCTGAAGACTTGCTGATGCAATTTTAATGTTATTTAGCTTTATTTCTATTAGCTTATTAATGTTTGTCAAAGAAAAATTAGTTTTAGTTACTTTACGTTTTTTAATTTTATATTTGAACAGAACAGAAACTGTAAAGATGGGTGTCATTTTTGTGTTGTAGCTAATATTCAGATTTTAATCATGTTAGTGTGAGAAGTGCGATTTTTCAATGGAGCCTTTTTAGAATTTCAGCATACAGCCTGATTCACAATACTCTGTATTTCTAATGGGAAAAAAATAAAATAAACTTCCAATGATAATATAGCCTACTTAGTATAAAGTGAGATGATCCTGAATGGCTTGTTTAATGAGTGTTTATAGTCTGATGCTCATCAATATTTCATGTCAATAGATCCTTTATTTCATGTCAATAGATCCTGTTTTCACCTCATTCATTGTGCTGATTTCCTGCCAGTTAAAGTTAATTTCATTCTTATCGTCAAACTTCTCGTTAATGATGGGGCAGATAAAAGTAGGATTGAAATATGAATACAAATCTTAGAAACCGAAAGAGACGAAACAGAAATGCATGTGTGAATTAGTATAAAAATTCAGATACTTTACTATAGATAGCAGATATACATAAATGCTTGAAATGTGTAAAGTAGTATAAAAACAAACTCAAAAACGTTGGCAGATCTGCTCCTCCTTCAGTGAAGCTCCTCCCACAACAATCACATCTTCAGTGAAGCTCCTCCCACTACAAGCACACCTTCAGTGAAGCTCCTCCCACAACAATCACATCTTCAGTGAAGCTCCTCCCACAACAATCACACCTTCCGTGAAGCGCCTCCCACAACAAGCACACCTTCAGTGAAGCTCCTCCCACTGCAGTTCATCAATAAATGCTGGAATATTCTCATCAGTCTACAAGTGAAGACGAGCATCAAAGCATCAGGAAGAAGTGAAATCTGCAGAGACAGAGTTTATTGAAGGACAGAGAGAACATGAGAGATCCAGAACCCTGCAGAATGAAACACACTGAAGAACAAACAGGTTGGTGTTTATTCTTCATCCTTCATCATTGAGGCTGAAGAACATTAAAGTTATCAGTAGTTCATCATATTTAGTGTTTATAGTTGAAAAAGACCTCAAGAGTTGTAAAAAATGGAAAAATAAAAGTTAAACCAATAAATAATATAGGCAATACTTTCTGTCTCGGGGTACAAAATAGGGACTGAAACTCAAATGATATCACTTCCTGGGTGTTGCCTTTTTTTTTTTTTTTTTTTTTTTTTTAATGCTTTAGTTTTAAAAAGGAAGAAATTGAATGAAAATTGCGTAGTAACAGTGTTGTGAAAAATATTGGTCAGTTAATTAGTTTAAAATAGTTATTTATTATGTAATAAGTTTTTAGTATAGTATATTAGTGTTAATATTGTATTTATAATATATTATAATTGTGGAGTTGATAAAACATCGAACAGTTATCACTACATAAATTTGCCACTACAGAGATTAGTGTCTGTATTTTTTTTATATAGATCATTGAATCATTTTGTAAAAATGTGTGAAAATGATTATAATTTTGTGTAGCCGTCGTCAACTTTTGCTTCACATTTCTCTGACTTGTTTTATTTTTTAATTATATTGTAACTTTTTTAACTTTAATTTTAGATCTGATAGAGAAGAAACTTGTCAAAACTGGAGAAAAAACTCGCTCACAGACTGAAAGTATTTCTTTACTGAAAAGAAGAGTCAAGAAAAGTTTCACCTGCACTCAGTGTGGAAAGAGTTTGGCATGCAAACAGGGTCTCAATGTTCACATGAGGATCCACACTGGAGAGAAACCATTCACATGTGATCAGTGTGAGAAGAGTTTCACACAATCATCACACCTTAAGATTCACATGAACATCCACACTGGAGAGAAGCTGCATGAATGTGATCAGTGTGGAAAACCTTTTTTGAGGGCTTCAAGCCTGAAGGATCACCTGAACATTCATACGAAGGAGAAACCACATTCATGTTCTTTGTGTGGAAAGAGTTTTTCACATCTGCAGAGTTTAAAAGTTCATCAGAAGATACACACTGGTGTGAGAGATCATATGTGCTTTGAGTGTGAGAAGACTTTTATTACAGCTCAACATTTGAAACTGCACGAGACCACCCACACTGGAGAGAAACCTTACAAGTGTTCACACTGCGACAAGAGATTCAATCAGTCAGCACATCTGAAAACACATGAGAGGATCCACACTGGAGAGAAACCTTACAAGTGTTCACACTGCGACAAGAGATTCAATCAGTCAGTACATCTGAAAACACATGAGAGGATCCACACTGGAGAGAAACCGTATCACATTAAGTAGTTAATCTTCAGGTCCACTGCTTTAAACTGCGACGATGGATCACTTTCATATTAATCTGTCATAAGAAACATCATCTAAATTTGTCACAAATTCAGTCACAATCAAGTTAATCTTCAAGACCAGCAGTTTCATTTGTGAGATCAACTCAAAAGCCCTATTCGGACAGTAATTGTTTCTCATGGGGACGTAAGTTATTTTCACCATTTACAGGGGGTAGTCAGTGATTTTATAGTCTCAGCCTCAGACGTCACGCCCACGGACCGTTGGCTGAACGTCTGATGCATACGGCACACAAAAGTGGAAACACTTCAGGAGTTTCGAAGTCGTCGTCAGATTGGTTGAATTATACAGGATTTCTGGGAGATGTGTGTGGCGCGTTCTTTAACGTTACACCTGGAAACAAAGATGCCGTGCCGCCAAACCCCCTCACAAAAGAAGAAAGCCGTCGTGTTTACAACTGTGACGACGAGCGCTTATCAGGATCAACTAAACGCTGGATTCTCAAAAGTATGTAAAATATTTAAAGTTCGCGGCACAGAATACTTAAAATACGTCCGAGAGTTTTACACACCGGTCTGTTATTGTGGCGACATTTCCACGCCCCGAAACGTGACGATGAACGAAAC